AGTTAGAATGGATTTTTGCATGCAAAGTTTTGTCCCAAATTTATTCAGGGATTTTGGTTTTGAAAGGCATTTTCTACCCTGCTACTGTAGACTTGGTGGGGCAACCTACGGCTTTCATTGGGGCGACAAGTGCAACAAGGTTAAAAATAGAACACGCTTTAAGAATCCCAGATATTTTCAGATAACAAAGAGTGATTTATGTGGGCTCATTTTGTGCTTTGAAAACATAGAGACGCCTTTGTACTGCGATTAGCCAGGGTTCTGAGGTCAGTTCTCTTGTCTGGGATCCAGCTTTATTCGGTTGCTAAATTGTGCTTTGTACTATGATCCAGAGAATCTTTGTATCTGCCTTATTAAAGTGTGTAGTTTATGTAATTGCTTTTGTTTTCTAGTTTCATTGGTGCCAGATTCAATGAGAGTGACTCATTATGTCACTGAAACAAACATTCTCATGTGCGTTGAGGACCTTCCCCCCATCACCCCCAAAAAAGTAGCAGGTGCTGGCTGGCTAAATTCAATATTTTAGGACTGTAATTTCCTGTATAGAAAGCTCGTCTCACATGCGATGCTCACTCACCAAACCAGCCTGTGAAATCACTGCCTCCACCTCTGTATATATTTGTGTGTGCGCGCGTGTGCGCATACACACATTCCTTTTCTTTTATTCCCTTTCCTTTTGTCCATAACCATTTAGATGAGTTCTCAAATGCCCTTTAAAATTGAACACTATGGAAGAGGAAGGGAGAGGGGCAGGAACCAAACCTCTGTTGTAGCCCAGGACAGATCCCATTCTTTCCTGCCTTTGTCATCTTCACTTGTGAATGCACAATCGTTGAATGCTAGAGATGACAACACATGCTTGGCTGTGCTCAGGCTCTCAGCCATTCTAGCCTGCTGCTCTTTGGGCCCTAGGTTAATGGAAGGAGTTTTATAAACACTGGGTAGGGTCCTGAATGTAGAGTGGAATGGGTCTCAGAGGCCATGATGTCCATTTTACATATGCTTTGTATAGCTTTGTTTCCTTGTTGGCTTCCATATTAGATTGTAAGCTCCTAGAGGGCAGGGGCTATCTTTTACCTCCTTTGGTATCCCTAGTACTTAGCACAGTGCCTGCTACATAATAGGTGCTTAATACATTGAATAAGTGAAATGACTTACACAAGATTATAGGTATTAGAACCCAAGTCCTCTGACTCCAAGTCCAAAGCTCATTCCATCATATCAGCTGCTTCTTTATCTACTTAATTTTGCTTGTGACTGAGTTTGTGTGCACTGTGAATCTGGTTCCTCAATGGGAAAGTAGAGCCAGTATGGTAAAAGCAAGAATTTATATGAATTTATATTTATATGAATGTATATATTTACATGAAGTGACCACAAAGAAGAGGGGCATTTTGTTTGTTTAGAAACTACCAATAGCCAGAAACCTCTTAGGAAAAGACATTAAGTTCACATTTCTATAACTCTTTAAGCTTTTTAAAGTTCTTTCCCCATACCGATCCCAGGAAGCAGCTATTATTATGCAATTATTAGTTTGTCCATTTTACAGTTTTTTAGGGGAATGACGTTTGGGGAAGTTGATTAACTTGTCCATGGTCACAGAGCTGGTGAGTGCTGAGTTAACTTTCAAACCCAAGACACTTGGGTCTGAATGGGGGGAGGGCAGGTCCTATCATGTGCAAAAATTTACTCTCGGTTTATTTTGTTTGAAAAACAAAAATATTGCAGCAATCTTCCTCCACCCCCCTCCCCAAGTTATTTAAAAATCAGATTTCTGGCAACCTCAACTGTCTGCAACTTGGTTGAGAATTTTTCAAAAGTAAGTGGAAAAGATCTCTGAGGCCTCAAAATAACTTGTCACAAAGCCAAAGGACTTGACTTGGTAGGAAAGGTCCTGCGGCCCACACTCGAGACTATTAACTAGATACTTAGAAGTGGAGAGGGGCTACTGGAGATTCACAACTTTAAAGCTGCATTTGTTTTTTCTTTCTATAGTGGTTTTTCTAAAGAACCTCTTGATTGGGCTTTGAAAAGTTTTTTCAACCAAAACAAATTAACATGTCTTTGTATAGATAAGAATTCTTGGTCTTAATCCATGTCCTCTCCTTATATGGTAGATTTGTCTTCCTGAGGCAGCTAAGTGGTGCACTGGCCTAGAATCAGGAAGACCTGAGTTCAAATTCAGCCTCAGATACTTAGTAGCTGTGTGAACCATGACAAGTCACTTAACCTCTGTTTGCCTCGATTGCCTTGTCTGTAAAATGGGGGTAATAACAGTACCTACCTCCCAGGATTGTGAGGATTAAATGAGAAAATAATAGCAAAGCTCTTAGCGCAGTGCCTGGCACATAATAAGTGCTATATAAATGTTATCTATCATTAGCTAAGGGGCCGTTGCTTAGACTTCTTCATCATCTGGGTAATGGGCCCCTAGCAGGCCAGTTCAATTCAATAGATCATTGTTGAGCACGTGCTGGGTGCTAAGGACTTTTGGTCCCTTGGGGAGATGCAGTATTTCTATTGTTTTGGAGTTTATAGGCACCAACAAAAGGATGTATATACATACATGTACATATACATGTACATAAATACACACACACACACATACACACAGATACAGGTGATTATAGTATACGCTATGATCCGTGATAAATACTTTAGAGGAGTGCTATATGAGACTGGGAAGGCCAGTATCAACTTGAGGAGAATCTGGGAAGGCTTCATGGAAGAACTACCATTAGTGATGGGCTTTAAAGAATTCAGGAGGCAGTGACAGATGCAGAGAGGATTTTCCAGGCACAGAGCAAAAGCCCAGAGACAATATACACTGGGTTGTATTTGATGGGTGGAAAGCAATCCCGTTTGGATGGAATGTTGAGGATGTGGCAAACTGTTACAGGAGATAAGTCTAGAAAGGGCTTTCCACGACAGAAGAGTTTGAACTTTACTAGGTAGGATCCTAGGTTCATAGCTTTAGCCCTGGAAGGGACTTTGGAGGTCCTCTACAATCTGCTCATGTACAAGATGAGGAAACAAAGGCCTAGGAAGATGAAGCAGATTCCCTCAACATCACACAAGAAGCCACTGAAGAGTTTTGAGCTGAGAAGGGGCTCCTCTGCATAGCTCCTTGATATACTCACAGTCTCTCAATCTCTCTCTCTCTCTCTCTGTGTATTTTCTAATCCTGCTGCTTGCCTGTTTTCTGGAATACTTGCCAATTCAAAAATTTTACTGTGTGGCAAAACTTCCAAGAAATCTTGACCTTAGTTTACCAACTCTCAATGATTCAGGGGGTGATTATCTGGCTTATAAATTACTCAGCTACCTTCTTTTCGTCTTTCAGCTTTGCTGCTGCCTTCCTGTAGACAATCTCATAATTTATTAATTAATATTTCCACTGGAAAATTATAAGGAGAACAAGATAAAATTATAAATGTTTCTTTCCCCCTAATATGATTGACATTTGGAATAAGATTTGAGGAAGATGGAGGCTGAAGCTAAAAGATATAATTTACCTTAGTGGACAGGGGGTTTCTCCGTGCCTCAGTTGCCCCCTACCAGTTATTTCATTTCAGCTCAAAGAGAATTACTTTTTAGTTGCCACTGCTACTGTCCATTGTTGTGATGGCTTCTGAAAGAACTTAGGTATGCTATCTAGCAGTACTTTTTGTGTTGGGAGCCAAAAAATGGAAGTCAAATAGGATCCCTCCCTTGATTGGGGAATGGCTTAATAAATTGTAGGATATGAATGGAATGAAATACTGTTTGCTGTAAGCAACAACCAATATATAAAATTTTTTTTAAAAAGGTCACGTTGGAGGTCCCATACAAAAAAATGAAAAATAAAATAAAAAAAGAAACAACCAGTATGAGGAATTCAGAGAATCATAGGGAGATTTGTATGCAGTGATACAGAATGAAGTGAGCAGAACCAAGAGAGCAGCATACACAATGACTTAGCGAGAATGCTGTGGATTTGGGGGCTCATTGAAGTTGACATTTCCTCCAGTGATACAGATCCATGTCTTCCCGTCCTGTGTAAATCTTGTCCATGTTGTTGTTGTTGTTGTGACTTTTCAGTCGAGTCTGACTCTTCATGACCTCATTTGGGTTTTTCTCAGTAAAGATGCTGGAGTGGTTTGGCATTTCCTTCTCCAGCCCATTTGACAGATGAGGAAACTGAGGCAAACAGGGTGAAATGACTTGCCCAGGATCACACAACTAGTAGGTGGCCGAGGCCAGATTTGAACTCGGGAAGATAGTCTGACTCCAAGCCCCATACTTTATCCACTGTGCTACCTAGCTTACTCAAATCTTGTCCATGGCTTCCCTGGGGCACCCCCCATTCTCCCAAAGGCCTGCTGTGGAAAGTGGGATTTGTGCTTCCTCCTGAAGAAAGCCAGGGAGTCTAAGAAGCAGAGGGGAGAGGGCAGAATATTTAGTTAGTAGCAGCTGTCTAAACATGGGGCAGCTAGGTGGTGCAGTGGATAGAGTGCTGGTCCTGGAATCGGCAAGACTTTTTGAATTCAAATCTAGCCTCAGACACTTCTTAATTGTATAACCTTGGACAGGTCACATAACCCGTTTGCCTCAGTTTTCTCATCTGTAAGATAAGCTGGAGAAGGAAATGGCAAACCACTCCACTATCTCTGCCAGAAAAACCTCAAATAGGGTCACAGTCAGACACTACTGGAAAAAAAAAACCCAAAACCAGTCAGTCTAAACAATATGGACTGACAGATGAGATGAGCTCTATGTGCTGACCATTCTACTGCATGACCTATCAACACATCATAGTAATAGATCTCCAATATGATGACTGTATTTATATTTTCAGGAAACTTTGACTTTTGTAATGGCAAATAATTTTATAGGAAAATGATAACTATTTTTGTTTTTCTACGTGTCTTATTTTCCCATTTTTTTATTTTTACATGTCTTATTTTTAAAATCATTCTTAATTCCTGAATGTTAAATAAATGTTTTGGTTTCTTTCACAGGCATGGAAGAGGAGGTGGTTTGTGCTCCGAAGTGGCCGTTTAACGGGAGATCCAGACGTACTGTACTGGAATACTACAAAAATGATCACGCCAAAAAGCCCATCCGCATTATTGACTTAAACTTATGTCAACAAGTAGACGCCGGATTGACATTTAACAAAAAGGAGTTTGAAAACAGCTACATTTTTGATATCAACACTATTGATCGCATCTTCTACTTGGTAGCAGACAGTGAGGAGGAGATGAATAAGTGGGTTCGTTGTATTTGTGACATCTGTGGGTTTAACCCTACAGAGGAAGGTAAGTGCCAGGTTTCATGAATTGAACTAAAACTCAGATATTGGGGTGTCTTTCCTGCTGTCTTTTGTAGAATTATAACAAAGTGATTTCTTGGCTTAAATAGACGGGACTCTTTTAGTTTCCCTTCCATAACACATTAAGAAAGGTACCTACCTCTTTAATGAGAGAAATATTTTGGGCCGGGCCTGTGACTTAATCTATGCAGGGGAACCACACAGTTGTATACACAACTCACCTATATTGGCTTAGTTGCCTGGGACCCTGAAAGACTAGAGAGTCAGGATTCAAGTGTATGTCTTCCTAGAAGGGTGGGACTGTTCACTGAGCCAGGCTGGGGGCAGAGGTAGGGTCAAAATTAGCTCCTTATATGAGGCATGGTGGTACATTGGAAGGCACATTGGCTTGATGCTTGCTACATGTGAGACCTTGGGAATCTAATCCCTTTGGATTATAAACTCCTTGAGGGCAGGGGACTGCTTTTTGCCTCTTTTTGTATCCCCAGTGCTTAGCACAGTGACTGACACAGGGTAGGCATTTTTGTTCTTGTTCATTTGTTTCAGTTGTATCCAATTCTTCATGACCCCATTTGGGGTTTTCTTGGCAAATATACTGGAGTGGTTTGCCATTTCCTTCTCCAGCTCATTTTACAGATGAAACTGAGGCAAACAGGGTTAAGTGACTTGCCCAGGATCACATAGCTAGTAAGGGTCTGAGGCTAGATTTGAACTCAGGAAGATGTGGAGGTTTTGAGTAGGCGTTTAATAAATTTTTACTGACTGACTAACTGAACTTGGACAAATCTTTTGACTTCCTTTCATCTCATTTTCCTCATCTGTAAAATGTAGAGGTTGAACTCAGTGTCCTCTGGGTTCTCTCCTAGTCCTATGTCTGTGATCTGTGATTATAGAGATGGATAAGTTTCTAGGTTTCAAAAGCTTAGAAGAATTCTTTTTTAATGTAAGCAACTTTTAAAAATGCACATCAGTAGAAAAGCTGTTGACCTGAAGATAGAAGAAAAAATATTCATTCAATAGCATTTAATAGAACACAGCCTCCTCCCACCTCACTGTGCATATGTGAAAATCATACATGAATCCTTGAAAAATATAATAACAGATAACTTGTTCAAAATAGGAAGATGTATACTGTGTATCTTGGCTTTCTTCATTTTTAATTTGTTAATTGTGTGTGTGCAACACTGACTGCTTTGAAAGGAATAGAAAAAAAATAACATAAAATGTTCAGATATACTTGATGAGCCGGAATATACCCATGGGAAACAAACCATTACAAAGCAGTATAGGAAAGAGGGGTGACATGGTATAATAGAGAGATTCAGGAGGACTTGGGTTCAAATCTTTGCCTTCTAATACATACTAGCTTCATCACCATGGGCAGATCACTCTCTCTCTCTCTCTCTCTCTCTCTCTCTCTCTCTCTCTCTCTCTCTCTCTCTCTCTCGGTGCCCCAGACATCTTGCTAGGACTGTTTGTTGCTGGTCTATATCAGTAGGGGAATTTTGCACACTAAGCATTCCCCACTCCAGTGAAATCATAGGTTAAATGGAAGGGAAAAACAGAAGAAACTATAGCAAATATTATACATTGATCCTGTGGGAATCCCCTGAAATAATGGCATCAGGATTGATTGTACTATAGTCAGGGAATACTTCTAGGGAAAAGTTATTTGAGAAGGGTTTAGAAAGAAGTTGATTAATGGAGAGGAGAGTATTCTGAGTGAAAAAGAGTAACATTAGCAAAGGCTTCCAGGCAAAGGTGAGCAAAAGAGTAATTTATAAGAAATTTGATGTGCTCCAAAGAAAGAATGATGGAGTGTGAATGCAGATTGAAGCATACTATTTGCTATCTTTTTCTTCTGTTTTGTTTTGTTTCTTCTTTCTTGTAGTTCCTCCTATTGGTTCTAATTCTTCCTTACAACATGACTAATGTGAAAATATGTTTAGTAGGAATGTATATGTAGAGACTATATCAGCCTGCACACCATCTTGGGGAGGGGGGGCAGGGAAGAGGAGAAAAATTTAAAACTCAAAAGCTTATGGAAGTGATTGTTGATAAATCAAAATAAATTAATAAAATTAAAAAAAAAATTTGAAGTGGCTAGAGTAGAGATGACATGTTGGGGAACAATAAAGTTGAGAAGATGAGTTGTTTAACCCGAAATAAGGATTTAGGATTCAATCACTCTCTTGATGTTCTTAAATAGATTGATAAAGATTTGATGCAATTCAGCTAACATTGACTGGGAGCCTTCTATTATGTGAAAGGAGGATTTCTCAGCCTGAGTTCCCAGAGAGCCCAGGGAGAATCTCACCCACCAGTAGATCAGATACTCGAACTATCTTGTGGCAGAAAAATAACCAATGAGTTATTAAGTTCCCATATTTTGGAAACATTATTTCTGGAGCCTGTCAGGTTTGATGGTCACAAAGAATATTTCAAAAAGAGCAGAAAAAGGGGCAGCTAGGTGGCGCAGTAAATAGAGCTCTAGCCTAATCCAGCCTCAGGCACTTGGCACTTGCTAGCTATATGACCCTGGGCTAGTCACTTAACCCCATTGCTTAGCAAAAAAAAGAAAGAAAAGAGAAGAAAAAGCTTCATGTTGCACTCCTGGATTGTTTGAGGTGGGTTAGGGCCTCATTAGCACATCACAGTCAAAATGGAGAATCTTAATCACATACCACAGTTTTAAAATGGCTGTGTTCACTCTCCACAAAAACTAGACCTCTGAGAATACCAACGTAGATAAGACAGACCTGCTTTCAATGAACTTACTAATTAGGAGAAAATGCGGCAACAAATAATTATCATACAGAAGGGAGACAGATGAGGGCAAAGGAGAGGAACAGGCAAAGTACTTTGGGAAATCTGTGTGCCAGCCTTATGTGGGTTGAACTGGAATAGAGGAGAGACTGGAAAGAGGGAAACCAGCCAGGAAACTCTTGAATAACTCCAGGTGTGAAGGGATCAGGGCTTGGTTCAAGAGAATGACTTTGGGAATAGCAAAGAAGGGGACAAATCAGAGAAACCACAATCTATAGAGAGAACATATTTAGCGTTTGGATACAAGAAGGAAAAGAGAACAGAATGGTTCCAGGATTAAGGTCCTTGGAGCCAGTATCGGAGACACCTTAACCCTCCATGGGGCTGTTACAATCACATAGGATCAGAGTTTTAGAACTGGAAGAGACTTCAGAATTTTAGTCTAATCTCTCTCCTTTTACAGGTGAGACCAAAAGAGCGCAAATAACCTGCCCAAGGTCACCAGGTAGCAGATGGTGTTGGAACCCAGCTCCAAATTCAGAGCTGTTTCTATGCACAAGGGGGGCGTTCCTTAGTGAGGCGTGATATCTACTTTTTTAGTAAATATAGATCTCATTTATGTGGCGCTACAGTGTGCTGGGGTTGGTGCAATGAGTGCATTATCATGACCAGCCCACAGGCCTGCTTACTGGCCCATGTCTACAAAATTATAAGAATAATCAGCCCAAGACATCTTTGATGAAGGTCTGAAAAAAGAACAGGCAAGCCTTTTTTAGACTAGATTAGGGCAGAATATATTAAGCCTTAATTGCTTGGGGGGTAGCTAGGTGGCATAGTGGATAGAGCACTGGCCCTGGAGTCAGGAGGAGCCTCGGACACTTGACATGTACTAGGTATGTGACCCTGGGCAAGTCACTTAACTTCATTGCTTAGCCAAAAAAAAAAAGGCATTAATTGTTTGGCTCTTTGCTAAATTCTGGGAATACAAACATGGAATCATGTTCCATTCCAATGGGGGAAGACTGAGTACATTAGAGAGAATTAGATAGGGGAGTGAGGGAGGGAACCTGGTTTGGAAATGGTTGGGAAAGTATAGAGGGGTGTGTGTATGTGTGTGTGTGTGTGTGTGTGTATGTGTGGTAAACAGTAAGCACGGTGGGATCTTGTGTGTGTATAATATGTATGTGTAAATATGTATGTATAGTATTGTTCACTATATTAAAAAAAAAGTATTAGACTTGATAGAACAAAATACCTATAAGGTCTGGCTGTCTTCTGACAAAACTGTCACCCATGCATATGTCAAAATCATATCAAATCTTTGGAAGATGAATTAACAGGCAACTTGTTCACCCCCCCGATTATTATCAGGTGAGGCACAAAATAGGAAGATGTACAACATCTTTCTTGGCTCTATTCTTTTTAAATTTGTTAATTTAGGGACCAAGGCTGAGTTGGTTTACTTTTTGCTGTAAAAAAGGGGGGTGTTACAAAGAATATTAATAATAATAATCATAATAATAAGCGAGGTTATAAAGGAGATCTTTTTTTTATTTAGTAAGACTAGGAGCTGTTTTTGAGTGCTTTGAAATCGATTATGTTGCCATTGATACGCCTTTTTCAAATCTGCTAGTCCGTGTCTAGCTAGACCTGGCCTCAAAGTTGGGTTCAAGTTCTAACTGTGAAGAATATATTTAAACTCTCAGTTCTCTGGACAACTCCTTCAGATGACACATTGCAGAGAACATACTAACCCTTTTAATTAGTAAAGAGTTTCCTTATCCTGGGAGTTTCCTACATCTCTCTATCTTATCTCTTCATTAAAAACCAGTCCTGAAGGAACACAGTTTGCTGGTCCTTGGTTAGCCCAGCATGCATACTACCCTTGAAAAGAATAAAATTACCTTTCTTTGAATGTTCTTTAATTTGTGGGGTTTTTTTAAAGTAAGTTGTGACCTTTGCAAATTAGTCTAAAATAATAACATTTTATTATATTCATAGACCTGTGTTTTCTGGAATGTAACAGTTAAATATGAAATATCCCTCACCATTTGATGGTTTTTAACTAAAAGACATATAGCTATAATATGCTTTTATGGGATTTGGATACATCCAAATGGCAATTCTGGTTTTAAAACCATCTGCAGTCTGTGCTTCCTTGCTGACTTTGCAAGATGTTTTGTTTTGTTTTTTAAGCCACAGGTTAAGCCAGGGGTTCTT